GAGAAAAGAAAACGTTGTTAAAATCATAAGGGATGCCAGGGGTAGTGGCTCATGCCTGTAATCCCAGCACTTTGAGGGGCCAAGGCAGGTAGATCACTTGAGACCAGGAGTTCAAGACGAGCTGGCCAACACGGCAAAACCCTGTCTCTACTAAAAATACAAAAATTATCTGGCTATGGTGGCTCATGCCTGTAATCCCAGCCACTTGGGAGTCTGAGGCAAAAGAATCACTTGAACCCAGGAGGCGGGGGCTGCTGTGAGCCGAGATCACATCACTGTACTCCAGCCTGGGCGACAAAGTGAGTGAGACTCTGTCTCAAAAGAAAAGAAAACCATAAGGGAGAGAAAATGTATTTACTATTCATTAAGTGGAAATGGCTCAGCATAAAGTTCTTAAAGGAAGAAAAGGGGTTGGTCCTGATGTCTCAGGTATGGCAGAAACAGAAGGAGGTGGGAGAGAAGGGGGAAACACTCAATGTCACTTTTCTAGAAAAAAAATCTGTGTTATGTGGACGTGTGTACTAGAAATGCATCTGTTCAAGGGTAAACAGTAGTTTAAATCAACAGATGTTTCTTTCTTTCCAAGCCAGCTTCTTTCTTGGGAGGCTTGGGGCAAGAGTACACATGGAGGCCCACATACCATATGTCTAGATATGTAACTTGTGAACCAGGGAACAAACTATTAAATGAAATATACCTTTTTACCTTGAAAAATATTCCTTGATAGCAACCTAGAAAATCAATCTGAGTTTCTAATTCTGAGACTCCCTGAAGTTCTGTGCTGAAACATGGTGGTGTAGAACACTACCTCCACACTTGTCCTCTGGGACATGCTCTCCTGAGCATCCCAGCTCTGTAAGGTGGCCCTTGGCCACCCCTCAGGGAGCATCTTCCCTTGGAAGATGACTCCAAGGAAGAGTGGCATGCAGGCTCTGGAAGAAAGCTTGTGGACACTTGGGCAAGGAATTCTGAGCTCCTCGTTACCCAGACCATGGATGAGAATTTGCAAATATGGAATACAGAAATAATAAGCATCGAGTGTGTTTTGTTTTGTTTGCCTGTTTCTTGTCAAAATTTACTGAGAGAAACTAACAATGGGGTGCACCAAAAGGGAAAAAATGGAGTTCACTCTTCCAACTGTCTCAGAGCACAGACAACTCTGTGTCAGGTCACTTTTCTTCTGAGAAGGAGAAGGAATAATTCCTTTTCTCTTTTTGCTGATAGATCTTTGGGTGGGGTAGAGGGGAACAAACTAAGCTCAGTTTACATCACATTAGTGAGTATGGTGTCACATGTGACATGTGACATGGACTGTATCCTTTAGCTAGTGCATTCAGAATCCTTGGCTCAGTAAGGGTGGATAGAGTGGGTAAGTTGTTATGACTTCCATTTTCAGATGAGGAAAGCAAGGAAGATTTAGCCAGGATCTGAGAAGAGAGAGTGAAGAGATCTGGAAACTGGCCTTCTAGTTATTTCTCTCTCTCACTGCTTGGTTCTCCTAGGTGTAGCTGTTTCAGAGTCAAGGGGGAATCCTTTAAATCCATAGCAGTTAACCCCGCAGGAAGTTTTGAGCAGTCTAGCCATGCATAAAAAGCAACATAAGGTTTTATGTAATTGCTTGAGCATTCATACCAAGAAATACCTTTTGCCCATTTTACTTGTATTTATTTGGTGGCATGACCTAGTTCTTGAAGTTTTAGAAAACCCTTCAGAGGCTATAGAATCACTTTTCTAGATAACCCATTTTGGGTCCTGCAACTCATGATAGGCACAGAAGGAGTAAGCAGAGCACCTGCCATAACCCCAATTTCCACGGGAAGAAAATAAAATAGAACCTAAACAAGATAAAAAGAGGAGACTCCAAATGCTGCTTCACCTACAGGAGTTTCTTTCATCTGTGTTTGTCATTTACAAATGTCTTTCCTTCAACCAAGGAATGACCGGCTTGCTATGGGCCAGACATTGTGTTGATGGCTATACACACAATTTCATCAAATCCTCGGATCAGCCCTGGAAGGGTTGGTGGTGTCCTCTTCCCATACATGAGAAGGCTAAGGCTTAGAGGTTAATTAACACAGCAAAGGTTACACAGCTAACGAGTGGCTGAGCTGGGATTCAAATCCCCTCCGTCTACTGCTAAGGCCATGCCCTTAATCAGTTACTATTCCGAGCACACTGGCAGGTTCATCATAACGTCAGTATATACCTTGCAGGGCTGATGTGAAAATTGAAAGAGATTATATAGATGAAAGAAAGTGTTGGGCAAAACATAAAATCCTTACAAATATTCGCTGTGATTATTTCTCTTGGTTTTACACAGGGCTCGCTCAGCTGTCCTTAGTGGCCATGTCTTTATTAATCCCATAATTTATCCTTAAACCACCAAAGTCTTATTTGCCTGGCTTTTCCCATAGCCGAAGGGAAACTGAAAATGTGCCTTTTATAAGAAAGCTTTAACACCTGCTGCTAAAGGGCGCTAAACCATCTGGATCGTCAGAGGAGTATAAGCTCACTTACAAAAGACGTAGATTAATTTGGACATTGTTTCCCTACATAAACCAGGCATAAGGAGGCAAGCAACCCAGGGAAGGATAATCATGCTGAGAGTGGAAGCACTTATTAGAAATAATTACCATGTAATTATCCACAACTTCCCTGGAGTCTGTAGCCTGTGGCTAGTCTTAGGAGGTGCCTCTTCCTTACCAAGTGCAGGGAGATGGAAGCACTTCAATAAGTTGATCAGGGCATGTATCTGTGTCTTAGAGTTTGGTTACTGCCACCTGGGCCTACTTCTCACATATGAAGCTTTCAACGCTGATGGCTAAGGTACAGAACAGCTGTAGACCTTCTTCAGCTGGATCCACCACCCACCCCCTCCCTTTTTTAATAGCACAATGTTGTTTTGCAAGAGTGTGGGTGTGACACATCTGACTTCTTTCCTTAAGAAAAGTATTTACTGAGCAATTAAATGTGGTGCATGGGAGCTATGACATTTCTCTTTTCCTTGTGCCTCTGAGCCATGTGTCCAAGCTGCCAGGCAGGCCCCACTGAAGATCAGTAACAGCACTGAAAAGGAACAATGGCTATAAAAGCCTTGACAAGTACAGGGAGAGACCCAGGCACTTCCAAGAGGGGCGTCATTGCCCATAGGGTTAATCAATTCTCCTTGTTTTCATTCCAGCTCCACATTTGTCTTGGTGGCAGCACTGCAAATGTAAAATCAAACCTACAAACTGACGTTTGATACACATTGTCATGACCATCATTGTTACTGTTATAGCTACCATTTATTAAGCCTTTATATATGACAAGCACTTTATATGTACCACTATCTCATTTCTTCCTCTTAATAATGCCGCTAGATAGTTAATAGTATTTTTATCATGTACCGGTGAGAAAATGGAGATGAAGTCACTTGCTTGTGGTTACTAGGTGCAAGTTTCTAGATTCAAACTGAGTCTGACCCATGCTCTGAACCACTAGGGCTTAACAAACCCAAACCTCCCTAGAAAATGCAGGTGCAGAGAACACAAGGGCTTGGGGAAACCCTAAAATCATCTGGAGTGATCGACCTACAGTTCGAAATGTTTGTTTTCAGGAAAGCCAACTTCAGAGAAGAAGGTTTAACCAATCTCTTTGCAAACAGATTCGTTTGTCCACCTGTGATTATTCTCAATACAAGAAAAGGGCTAAAAATATCACTTGCAGCACTGAAGTGGCCTTATTTTGAAAATGAGTTTTCATAGAAGTAATCCCGCTAAACTGAGGTCATTAAGGTGGGCCCTATTCCAATGTCATTGGTGTCCTCATATATAGATGAAATTGGGACACAGAGACGGACACACAGAGGGAAGACACTGTGAAAAGACATGGAGAAAACCCCTGAAGGCTGAAGCAGAGATTGGATTGATGCTGCCACAAGCCAAGGAACAGCTGGGGATACCAGAAGCTAAAAGAGGAGAGGAAGGATCCTTCCCCTCCAGGTTTCAGAGGGAGCCTGGCCCTGCTGGCACTTTAATTTCAGACTTGCAGCCTCCAGAACTATGAGACAATAAATTTCTACTGTTTATAGCCAATCAGTTATAACTCCCCTGGAAAACACATACCCCTGTTCTGTGGTTCTATTCTGTTCTGTACCGTTTTGTTCTATTTTATTCTTTCGTTAATAGATTTCCAGGCTGGGCACGATAGCTTACACCTGTAATCCCAGCACTTTGGGAGGCCAAGGCAGGCAGATAACGAGGTTAGGAAGTCAAGACCAACCTGGCCAATACGATGAAACTCCGTGTCTACTAAAAATACAAAAATTAGCTGGGTGTGGTGGCGGGCACCCATAGTCCAGCCTGGGTGACATAGCAAGACTCTGCCTCAAAAATAAATAAATAAATAAAATAAACAGACTTCCCAATCTGCTAATTTTGAATGACATCAGCCTCTAGAGCTCAGCATTCACACCCTTTCCAAGCTGGCTCCAGTCTAATTTTCTAACCTCAGTATTAGTCAACCCCTGACCCATCCTGAACACGCCTGGTGTTGCACAGTCCATCAATCGGAGAGCACAGCGTCAACCTGAGTGCAGGTGGCCTGCTCAGTGCCTGTGCTGTCACCTTTCCCCTTAGAGGCTATTCATTTTTTAATGCCCAGCTTCAAGTCACCTCCTCCAACAGGATTCCCCTGGCTCCTTGGGCAGAATCACTTGGTCCCTGTCCTCTGTTTCCCCCAATACTTTATCAGCCCCAATTATAGCACTTACATTGTGTGATAGGATCAGTCTGTATGTCCCCTTCATCCCCTCCCCACAACTAAACTTCAAGTTCCCTAAAGAAGACTATTTCTTCCCTAATTTTTTCTTTTTAATCAAGTGTCTAGCACAGAACCTGACACATGATAAACCCAAATACAGGGTACCCCAAAAAGCTTAGTGCAGTTTTAAGTTTTAATAACTTCTTAAGTCTAAATGCTACAGACCTACAAAATTCATTTGAAAGCTTACTTCTTTTGACCGTTTTAATTATTTTAATGAATGTCATTGTAATTTTCTCTTCTGGTTACTGCATGCCATATTTCACTCAGGGGAACTGAAAAAAATGAAAATTAAAATGCGTTATTCAACATTCACAGAGCTAAATAGTGTTAAATTAAACTTTCAAATGGTGTTCTTGTAAGTTGCAGCATTTATAGCCCTGAGGTTAGTAAAACTGCAGGAAGACTTTTGGGACAACCTGTTTTTAAATAAATATCCTACAGTATGGCTCATTCTGTGTTTACCATTATATTCAGTTTAGTTTTATTGATTTTATCGAGACAGAGTCTTGCTCTGTCACCTGACTGGAGTGCAGTGGTGTGATCGTGGCTCACTGCAACTTCCGCCTCTTGGGTTCAAGTGATTCTCCTGCCTCAGCTTCCCAAGTATCTGGGACTACGGGCACATGCCACCACGCCAGCTACTTTTTGTATTTTTTAGTAGAGACAGGGTTTCACCATGTTGGCCAGGATGAATTTGATCTCTTGACCTCGTGATTCACCCGCCTCAGCCTCCCAGAGTGCTGGGATTACAGGCGTGAGCCACTGCCCCTGGCCTCAGTTTAGTTTGCAAGTGGTTCCACATGAGTACAGGTATTCTTTGGCCACTAGTTGTTCTTATACTTAGATGCAAGGAGCCCTTGTCCAGGTTGCACACTGTAGAAGGCAAATTCCAAATTCCCTCGCCAAATGGTACTGAGCCTACTTCAAAGGACTGTACACCAGCAGTGTTGTCTGCTAATGTCTATGCTCCCATGGCCTAATACTGCTGACGCTGGTGTTCATACTCCGGCTCAAGAGGTGGCTGGAGGACAGCTACTTCTGGGAAGCTGGACTGAGCTTCCATCATTGAACTGGAGCCCTGTGGGAAGAGAGGAGGTGGCTGCAGACCAGGAACTAGAAACCAGCTGTCTCTGCACCACCATATTTAAGTGCAGATCATCCAAAGTTTCAATCCAGCATGTCACGTCAATGCCCAAGGTGTATTTATTCATTCAATGTCATGTCAATTCCCAAGGTATATTTATCTAGGTGGGATGGTAGAACACATTGTACTTAATCATTTGTTAACTTTGTTTATAACTTTTAAATATTTAGGTAGGTATCTGGCATACTAACTAATCTCTATTTGTACTCTTGCCCTGGGTCCTACAAATATTAAAGGTGGGTGGATTTTGGCCTTAAAGAAAAATATTTTCCCACACAGATTTTTAGCTGTAAAGAGGTTGGTGGGTAGGAAAACTTCCATATGGAAACTACGATAGCAAAGAATGACTGCAGTCACTGAAGACACATTCTGTGCTGGGTGATTTATACATCGTTTTTCAGTTCATCCTCACAACAACCCAATAAAGTAGGTACTTAGGAGAAAACGGATATTCAGTGACATTGGTTTGTTCCAGCTCACAAAACTAGTGCTTTAGTTAGCCTTAGTGGCATAACGAACTATGGGAGACTGAAAGTTACTTAAAACAATTTTTCCCTCTGACTGTTGGGTTGGCTGGGCTGCTCTACTGTGGGCTTCCCTAGGCTCACTCCTGCAGCTAGCTGTGAGGAGATCTGGGGTGCCGGGCAGTGCAGAAGATTCCCCATGGCCTCTCCCACTTGTCTGGCAGTTGACGCTGCTGTTGCTGGTAATGACGACCTTCCTTTATTTTGTGTTAGCTACTGGTCATTGCAACCTCCTTGCGTTTTTTAGTTTTTGCTCCCATACTGTCTGGCTCAATGCCCGGCACTTGGCGATGGTTAATAATAGGCATTCAGGTCGCTTACAAGCAATGTGACCCTGGATGTGTTACCTAACCTCACTTAGTTTGTGTTCCCCACTTGCAAAATGGGTATAATGGAACAGAACACATCAGGTGGCTCTGAGACCCCAACACAGCGATGCAGGAGAGAGAGTGCTTGGCACTTGGTGCACGCTTGTTGCTAGTGCAGCTGGAATGTAGACCACCAATGAACGTGTGTTGCCTTTTTTAACAGTGGGAGTCAAACACCACTAGCTTTCCAAATTGAAATTCCGGGCTTGCAAGTAAGTCCTAGAGTGCAGAAATAATTTCAAAATACAGGGCTGAAATTCTAAGAAAGCAACTCTTAAAAAGTGGGAGAGAAAACCAAAACAAAACAAAGGGACAAAACAACCTGAACTGCACCGCAGCTGATGAGCTTCATTAATTTGTAAGATTCCACCCTGGGAGTCCACCCTGGGCTGCTCGCTTCTTCCAGCACGGGGAGCGCTGACTTGGTGGGGCCAGGTGCGCACCAAGCGCTGACAGGTGCGGCTGACTTGGTGCGCTGACTTCTGGGACCAGGAGGTAGGGAAACCACGTAGCTCTCGCCCTGTAGGTCTGGGTCATGTGATCCTACAGGAGCACTTAAAAGGCTCGAGTTCGGCAGGCTCCTCGTAACTAGGTGGGGCTGTCTCGTGTCTGCCAGACTTGGGAAGAGCTGTCAGGACAACCGGCTGGGGTCCGTGCTCACCGCGGCTCAGGGAGAAGCACCGACTGCGCCGCGTAAGTCAGGCGGGCTCAGCGGGACAGGTCCTTGCCGGGGTCCCTCGGACGTAGGGACCTCAGGGCAGGTGGTCTCAAAAGCTCTCAGCACCAAGAGGGGAGAAAGCGCCGTGGGGTGAGATTGGAATGGGGTAGTCGTGGCCAACTCCAAGTTTTCAAGTTGGAGCATTGGGGATGGACTGCGTGCGCCCAGCCGAGGGAATACTCTTCCAGACCAGAAGGCACCTCCTAATCCAGGAGTCCCTCCAGGGAAGTGCGAAGCGGTGGGATCCTCCGCCGCTCTTAGTGCGGGAGGGTTGGGGGTGCAGGACACTTTCCGTTCCTCAAGGCGTCTTTTGGGGATGTGTTGATTTCGTGGGTTCTCAGAAGCAAGAGAAGCAGAAACGTCTTCTATTTGAAGGTGCCCAAAGCAGGAGAAACTTGACTTTAACCTAGCAAGGAAAACACATAAGATTTTTATTCTTGGAATGTAGGATTAGGAGAAACCAAGGACACAGAAGACAGGTGGAAGCAGCTCCCTGCGAAGTGCGGGTCAGCTTTGTAATACAGAAGCAAAAGGACTTTGGAATATTAATGGATTTAAATCCCAGCTCTGGCCTTGGCTAGTTGGTGATCTTGGGTAAATTATTTAACCCTACTAAACCTCAGTCTTTCCATCTGAAAGGCGGAGCTAATAAGTTTTTCTTTTTAAATAACTGTCTTATTAGAAATAGAAATAACATATAGAAAACACCTTCCTAGCCCAGGACTTAGCTAAGTGTCATTTTCCTTATCAGTTGTAATTGATGATGAAGTCTATGGTGCAGACAACAAAATGATGTCTGAAACTCTGGCCATACAATGTCTGCGGCTCTGCATGACCCACGTGGAGTGACCTCTGAGTCCCCCCACCTTCACTGCAACCCCAGTGGGTCCCAAGCAAGGTGCTTGGTTTTTGGAGCAGGACAATTCTGTGTAATTCCTGGTTCTAGTATCCACTACTTGAATGACATCAGGGACATTATTTATCTTTCACAGCCTCAGTTTTGGCATCAGGAAATGAAGAAGGTGCCCCTCAGTACCTGCCTTTCCCTTCCTTGCTTAAACGTACAAATCTTTTTTATTTTTTAATTTGATTTGGGATGAGTAAAAAAGATGTAAGCAGAATAAAAAGCCCACTGAGAATGTATTTCATGAACTTGATAAATAACTTTTAAGAAAGTTGTCCAAAAGGAGAATTGGAGCACTTTGGCAAAGTACACTGCCCTGGCTTTGCTGGCATGTGAGAGTCTGCATGGGCAAGACCCTGTGGTTAACTGGGCATTCTGGATATGTACCTCATGCTACTCTAAGTACCGGGGAAACCCTTTATAATGTAGTGTCGGTGTTCTTAACAAGAAGCTGTTTTATTAATCTTTTATAGGCATTGACTGGGAGGGGCAATTGGTCCCCAAATTATAAATCCAGTCTATAGGTCAATTTAGAGTGGGATTCTGCCAGCATGATTTTATAGCCTTAGAAATAGATGGGTTTTGACTAACAGGGTGAGTGACGTAGAAGAGTGTTAAGAAAGTCCACTGGGTTTACCAGTTCACTCCCCACAAGAAAAACAAGAAGAAAATTATACAATTTTAAAAAGGAGTTGTTTTTGTTTTGGGAAGCATCTAGTTTGTCGGGGGAAACACTGAGTGTTGAATACTGCCCTGAGATGCACAGAACTAAGACAATGAGAGGGGAGAAACTCAGTTATTGCCTCAGGTATCATCAGATACCTGTTTGTTAGCATCCAAATACTCAAGGTAAATAGGGAAGGACCCATTCTGTCTTTTTTAAGACAGAGTCTTGCTTTGTCACCCAGGCTGGAGTGCAGTGGCACCATCTTGGCTCACTGCAACCTCTGTCTCCTGGGTCCAAGCGATTCTCGTGTCTCAGCCTCCTGAGTAGCTGGAATTACAGGTGCATGCCATCATAACCGGCTAATTTTTGTATCTTTGGTAGACTTGGGGTTTTGCCATGTTGCCCAGGCTGGTCTTGAACTCCTGACCTCAAGTGATTTTCCCATCCAAAGTGCTGGGATTACAGGTATGAGCCATTGTGCCTGGCCAGTGACTCCTTAATAGGAAGTATGACTCACTAAAGAGCAAACATGATTATTTTAGTTTAACATTTTCAATGGCTTTATAATATGGGATTTTTGTTGACTGAACTAAGAACATTTAAAAGATGTAGGCAAACTTCTCATAATTAGAAAGATACCTCTAGAACAATAACTCATTAATGTCTATGTTGACTTGGGAGAGAGGTAAGCTGGGCAAAAAGCTAAGAACTTTTTCCTGGTGAAAACAGTAACAGAGTTTGAACGTTTATGCTATATTTGCAAGTTCAAAGATGTAAACCTTAATAGACAGGTCACCAGACAGCTATCACAGCTTATCTGAACTGGAGCCAGGGTGTTGAGATTTCTGTCCCTTCAGAGATACTGTAGGTATAACCTTGAACATGAAATCACATGCTTTCATTGCTTTAACTCAGACCCTGGGGTGAAGGATGTGGTGGTGAAAAGAGGAGGAAGGACTATGTCTTTAGATCTTGGAGCCTGAAAAAGCAAATTCTTAGCAGCTTATCTTTCCAATACAGCTGGGACTTATCTCTTAACTTTTTCTCTCTAGTCTGATTCTAGTTAGTGGCTATCTTTATATTGCTTAGAGATGTTTACCTAGAACCCTGGGGCTAGCCCTTCTTTTCTTTTTTGGGAGTCTGTATCCCATTACCCTTCTTTCATAAAGACCGCTTGACATAGGCTTTTGTACCTGTGTGATTCTCGGGAGAGAACGTAACCCAGCTCCCAAGTGATTCATTTTCTCGTTTATTCATTTAAATAATATTTTTCCCAGTGTTTAATTCTGAAAAGATTTGAACATTCAGAAAAGTAAAAAAAGCTTTGCAATCTAGAATCTACCTAGATTCTATTATTGGTTAGAAGCCAGGCTATGGATTTCAATTGATTAATCAACTTGATTAATCAATTAGTTCCTACTGTTTGCCTAGAGCTTGGCTCAGCAAAGCTGTAAAAACATAAAAGGCAGGGTAGGGTTAAGGAACAAAGCATAGGCTTACAGTTTGTGAAGCGATCATGTAACTTTGGTTAGAAAAGTTATGTTGGAGTTGTATGGTGTAGGACATTGAATTTCATTGTAGAAAGTTTATACGTGATCCTGGTTGCAGGTGGGAGTCATTGAAGGCATGGGAGGAAGGGAGTGCCTTGTGTTTTAGAAAGCTGATTGCAGCATCGGCTTTAGGCTAAATTGGAAGGAAAACGACTCGAAGTCTGAGAGATGTTAGGAAGCTTGTAAATGTCTCAGGGCAAGTGAGGATTGAACTGTGGATAGAATGGAAAAATGGAAGTAGGATGGCACTTGGTGACAGATTTAACTTGAGGATTTCTGGTTTTAGAACTCAGGCATCTGCAATGATAATGGAGCATTATTAAGCATCTGGAAGTTGCTGGGTGTCATGGCTCACATCTGTAATCCCAGCACTTTGGGAGGCTGAGGTGGGCAGATCACCTGAGATCAGGAGTTCGAGACCAGCCTGGCCAACATGGCGAAACCCCATCTCTACAAAAAATAGAAAAAATAGCTGAGCTTGGTGGCACATGCTGTAATCCCAGCTACCCAGGAGGCTGAGGCAGGAGAATCACTGGAACCCAGGAGGCAGGCACTGCAGTGAGCCAAGATCGCATCACTACACTGCAGCCTGGGCAACAGAGCAAGGCTCTGTCTCAAAAATAAATACATCAAATCTGGAAGTCATACAAGGAGGAAGTTTGAGGAGAATGATGATGTCCGGGTATAGTCTGTGGGTTTGAAGGACTGATTGATTATCCATGTGGGAGTGACAGCTGACAGTGCTGATACTGTCCTAAAATGCCCAATAGCAATGTCAGGACTGAGCAAACATTTGGACTAGCAATTAATACTCAAGGGGTGGTTGAGTGAGAATGTATGGAAGGAGAAAAAAGAAGGACAAGGCCTTGAAGAAAATCTGAATATATGGAGTTCTTGGAACGAAAAGTAAATACAGATGTTGGATGACCTGATAGTGTTTTAATGGCTGTTCATCTACAGTGTTACTGTAGCTGCAGTTCTCCTTAATAACTGACAACACTCCCTGACTAAAAGACCGTATCCGCGCTAGTAAAATGAAGTAAGTCTTTCCCGTTTCCATTGTGGGAAGTGCAGGGGGAAGAAAAAGAAAGTTAAATAATTTTTTATCGAGGACTTTAGAGCATACAATGCTTTTTCCAGATTGGAAGCCAAGTAATTTAATGAACCTGTCTATGTTTTCACAAGGCATCACCTACTTAATCTGGGAGCTACGACCGATGGTGGCAATATTTTCCAAACCAAACCTCTAGTGTGACACACATTCTGGATCCACGGTCATCAAGCCTTTATACAACCATGTAGTCATCAAGACTCCCTTCTTTCTTTCAACTTAATTTTTAAATTTATTTTTATTTTTCTCTGGTACTTGATTCAGGACCTTTCTACCTCAGTACTTTAGTACCTGCTTTATATGCAGAATAAATATTCAGCTCCGTGAACCCACTTATTATAATGACCACTGGCAAGGCAAAGGAATTTAGAGTCATTTAGCATCTTCTCTGTTGCTAGGGACTGTTCCAAGGTCTCAAATAGAAAGTGAAGGCAGAGACTGTGTTTCGTCTCTCTGCAGGTCCTGAAGTGTGTATATGTATACATATAATCTCTCGTATCCCTCACTAGAACAGTGAAAAAGAGTGTGATTCTACTCAGAATGCAAGTCATTTGTCTAAGGGTACAGAGTTTTTAAGTGGCAGAAGCCACATTTGAAGCTGTGAGGGCATACTTTTATTTATTTTTTAATTTTTGAAATGGACTCTGTGCCTAGGCTGGAGTGCAGCAGGGTGATCTTGACTCACTTCAATCTCCACCTCCCGGGTTCAAATGATTCTCTTGCTTCAGCCTCCTGAGTAGCTGGGACTACAGGCATGCACCACCATGCTTGGCTAACTTTTACATTTTTAGTAGAGATAGGATTTCACTATGTTAGGCAGGCTGGTCTCAAACTCCTGACCTTGTGATCTGCCCGCCTCTGCCTCCCAAAGTTCTGGGATTACAGGCATGAGCCACCATACCCGGGCTGAGGGCATACTTGAAATCTTTCATGCTATTCCCACTGGACTGCATTGCCTTCCTAGATACTACTGGCTGTATACCAGGCACTGTATTAGGTGTGTAGGCTCCTTACTGTGGTCCCTGTTTTGGGAAGGTGATCAGCAGGGAAGCTCAAAGCACATTGCACAATTAGTTATTACTGGCAGGGTATCTGCCCTCTGGTCCTGCCTCGTTTTCACCCAACTTCTTGAACTCTATATGAAGGGCCAGCCTCTCTAAGAAATGCCAACCCC